TTGATAATTCCACGTGACATAAAAATTGACTACAGGTAAATTCTTGATAGAGATTAAAAATTTTTAATAGGGCTTCTCATATGTTGTGTGAATTTTCTCCTCACCATTTAGCTTGATCTGAAGTGTTAAACTATTTTAATAAACTAATCATACTTATTGAATTTTTAGGAGTATTCTAATAATTATTTTGAGCACAAATAAAGTAGTGTTTCATTTGCCTCTGTTTGTTAGTGTTCTTGATAGTATATTATCCATCAAAGATGGCTGGATTTGATGACATTTAAGAGAATTAATTTCATACTAATGGATCTACAGTTTTTAATTATCCGAGACCCAATCATCTAAGGTAAATACTCTTTACTAAGCCTGGAATATGTTCTTTTAAGTTGAAATCGTCTTTAGAATTAAAAATAGCCTAACAATAAGACCTACCATTGAAGTTGTATGAAGGTCTCCCAAGTTCCAAGTCATGAAGACTTCAAGAAGTGAATTCGATGGATACTGATTGAAGCGAGAAACAATGGAAATTTATTAAATGTCAAGTTTATTAAAAAACACCAGAGTTTTTAAATCTGTTTATTGATAAATCAATTACTTCTTCTTTGTCAATGTGAGTTGGATCACCAACATTTTTTAAATGAATTGAAATTTAACAAATTTACAGTGACATACTTGAGACTGACATTTTCTCATTAGGTATTCAGTCAATACTTACTGATAAACAATTAGTAAATAATAAAAATTTTAATTTATTTATAAATATTTACTTCAATCACTTCACTCTTGTAAAACTTGCATCTCTTTCTCATCATATCTAATCAATAATATATAATGATTTTTAAAAATTTCAAGAAACTTGTGAGACAAAAAAGCGAGTAATTGTTAGGAAATGTTTCCCCAGAAACAAAAAAAATATCCCATCCTGTTTCCGTCCACAAAACACCGATGTTAAAAAAAAGAAAAGAAAAAATGACCAGGAAATTTTGAAGTTATTTTAGGATTTAAATTTCTACCGTTTGTTGGAAACAGCTGGGTATCATGGTGAGAAAAATCCCGGAAAGATCATAGGATCTATAAAATCAGTTAGAAATCAACATCAAGATCTAGAAGGCGTGAAAACAGTTATCTTATTCATTCGATATCATGCAGAAAAATTTTTTGTCATACTCTATACCAAGAAATGGGTTGCAATGTCAACCGGGGAGTCTTTGAAATAAAACCGAGAAATGGACGAATTTTCTGTAAACTTCCTGCTTCTAAACATCAAAGGTCTAGGAGTATGTAAGCTATGGAACGAATAGATCTAAACATATTGAGTGAAAGAAATCGTTTGAAATAAGACAACAATAGAGTCAAGGTATGGACCCTACCAAGTAGCATCAACGGACCCAAAATATCCTGTTATTTCCTTTCCATTTTTAGTCCTTTATCCAAATGTTTTCGTTGTCTAGTAAGCATACCTGCAACCAGAAAGGTCACCAGAACTGGCAAATATCCTGTGAAAAGAGCAGCTAGATGATATAATGGTCAAACTGATGAAATTAGACAGCCCATATTTAGGCAAAGATCCTTAAACTTTAAAAAACGTTATGAAATTCCATGACTTTGAAGTTTATTTGAGGTTTAATTGTTTGACTTTTTGATAAATTATGAATTGTAAATTATTAGCAAGGTCACAAATACAGTATCTTTTATGAGGGATGACTGATTATGATCTAACGGTTGGTAAAAGTAGGACGGGATTCAAGTTTGACCTTTGTTCGATAAGTTACGTCATTGGTACATGAAAAATGAAGAAAACTTTCGAGATTACGTGGGTGTATGGTGTCATAAAAAATTCAATAAAGTATGTATACAGTTATAAATTATTCTAGAAAACTTCAAAGCTGTCTCCCACAATTGCACAAATAATTGTTTATCAATTTTAGAAAGTCAATGTCTACTTATGGAGATTATTTTAAGTTAGGTAATATTTTTTATTTTATGGCCAAACCTAATGTGGCCTTTTCAGCATGTTTATGGTAAATGTTGCTTAATGTTTGAGACGGACTTTAGCCAACGACTTTGGTAAGGGATGAGGAATTGTACTTTGATGATTTGCCAGTAACTTTATATTTTATTACTAATATTTTATGCACGATAATTTCTTTTTTTTTTTAGGAAAAAATTCCTTGAGTAATTTTCTTGTCTACAAAGAATATTTTTTGTAAGTTTTTTATCGCATAATTCATTACTTGTGCTCACAAAAAACTTCTATATATGTTAGTTACTAACAGATTCCCGCGACTTCGTCTGGGTAATGTGTATAATCACTTTGGAATAACTGAAATTTATCGAATAAATCTCGTTTTTTATTGTTTGTAACAAATTTAATTGTTATAAATGAAAGGAGTACGTTTTCAAATTGTGTATAGCAATTAAACATTGAACACGCTCAAAGTGTGTCAAAATAACACACTTTTGATTCACAGTGTATGTATGACACGTCTGTATATCTCTTCAAATTTTGTAGAAATCTACAATTTTTGGATATTTCTCGAATTTTCTGGAAATAATGTTAGTTTTTTTATCTTTTGATTTTATGAATAAGAGTTTTCTTACAATGTTTTCAATCATAACAATCGTTATAAACAATCGATAATAAAAAAAACAGTAGCTTGTATCACTCCTGAAATTTTCCTTTTCATGTCTACAATTTCATCGGAATCAGTTCAGCCATTCCCGAGATTACCCTGAACAGACATACATAAATTCAAAAAATTGTCATTTACGTTTTAACAGCATGCGAATGACCCACTGAGCTTAGTTTGGGACAGTTTTTCAAAATCACATACGGAGACGAATTTTATTTCGGTAGGTTGAAGAAAGTTGTAAAAGGCTGAGAACCAATTTAATATACGATTTAAATAAAAAATTTTATTACTGTACTTTATGACGTTTATAGATGTGTATATATATCACAGTTTAACATAGATATTTTCATTTTGTATTATTACAAAAAATTATCAATTAATTCTATAATACATACTATGCATGTATACGTGCATATATATATTAGCACCATAAGTTGAAGTCGTTTGTTGCTTAAGATACTTCAAATAGGTTCTATGAATATATCACTTAATCAATTCTGCATATTATTTTTTATAAATTTACTAACTGTGCTAAAAGCATGATTTATTCAATTAACGTAATGATGCATTCCTGTAAGAAGCTCAATTAGGTGAACTAAATATAAAAAATATCATTTAACATCATTTGTTGATCCGGAAAGCAGCTTAATATTCAGGATAATTAGCATTATACCTTGACTCTAGAAACATTCATGTTTCATCTTTGCATAATCATTTCAAAACATTGCATTTCTTTTAGTAAATATAAATGTTCATTAATTTAAATGGAAAATAGCTGACTAGGAAAAGTAATACCATTTTTTAAATAAATTCAAATTAAAAATAGACTACATAATAGTCTACATTAGTTGTTGATACGACGAGTATTAAGTACAGTGAGAAATCCATAATCAATTGGATCTCGTAAGAAAACGGAAGAAAAGTAAAAGCAATATCTTCTCTAACGTTGGGAAACATAATTAATTCACAAATCGTTGAAAAATATCAAGTAAAAAGTCCGATAGGAATATGCTTCAACTGAAGCAGCACGCGGTTAAGAAGTAAAGAATGAATTACAGTTAAAATCTTGGAGCAGAATATTAAATGAGAACATTTAGCAAATTAAATGTTCTAGGGTCTTCAAGCTACATCATCTTTTAAAGTTATTTTCAATAAATTGTTATATTCTATGTAATTTATTTCCATCAAGCTATTTTACGAGATCTTTTATTACGAAAGAAATATCAATCCTTGGAAAAAATTGATCTTAAAAAAATAGTTGAGAAATAATTTTTTATGTCTCTCTTAAGGATGGTAAGTGTTGTGGTACATAAGAATGTTTTAGGTAAAATTTTGCTTTGTCATATCATCCTAAAGTCAAATTTAATATAATAGATGAGATAATAGTTCAGTAAATAAATCAGATATTTATATTATTTTTTCATAGAAACCTCAATTTATTACTTTGGTACCATAATTTACGACTTCAAAGGCAATAAAAGTTTAATTGTCCTGTGAAAAGAAATCTTTTAAATTGTGAATTTAGATTAAAAATGATGTTTATCTGGTGAAAAAGAATTTTTTTAATTGCAAATTAACTTTTTTTTGTCCATAGTAATAAAAAGTTATGGCCATTTTCAATTAATTATCTAATTTTGAGGCTATTTTCAACATAGGGTTAGGGAGGGTAAAGTGAAACACTCGAGAGAATGTACAAATTTATTAAAATAAGTTTAAAAACGTTTACGGCACTTTTTGTTCATCAATTTTTTAATTTATTAATGCATTTAAAATTATTCAAATGTGTTAATATTTTGGTTAATTTGTTGATTTACCCCACTTTCCTCTAATGAGTCTCAAAACATCATCCAATTCTTCATTAAATATTAGAAAATTAATTCAAAAAAATTAAAATCTAAATTTTGACTTACTTATTCATGAAATAATTTAAAAAAAAATTTTTAATTATTTTAAATGAAACTATACACAAGTATCTTTTTTCGTACACAAAAATACCAACCAACTTCAACATTTATTCATTCTCCGCTATTAGTTACCAAATGATTTTTCTCATGACTTCAATCATACCCCTGACTTTGAAGATTTACTTGGAAACATATATGCATTTCTAATGGAATGATGTACCGCCTAACGCTTTGAATAGAATTAAATTCCATTAAACTTACTATCAGAAGTAATGCAGCTACCTGAAAACATGAGAAGGTCGAGCAGGTCGATATTCCAAGCCTGCTCTCAACCTTCTTCTAGCTATGATCGTTTTATTGTCAACCAATTGGTAGAGGGGGACGTAAACACCAGTGACGCAGTCGCAAATTGCCAACAGTCGACCTACTTGAAACCTCAACGTCCTACTCAAGCTTTCCGGGTTGTCAGTAGGCCTCTGATCTCGATAGGTAGGGGAGGTTATTTATTATATTCATTTGTGAATAAAACTTTCATAAAAACAATAAATATTTGGACTGTTAAATAAATAAACTTCCAAAGAAAAAATAGAAAACAAAATTTTTAAACGATGGGTAAAGGCTATGCGTTAATTTACTGGATTAATTCTCGCCATACAGACACCATAAAGTGTGCAGCAATACCTAAAAAGTGTCGCAAGGAGCACGCGGTGGTTACGTTAAAATGGCGAAACGGTGTCACAGGAACTATCGAAAGAAGATTAGCAAAAATAGTATGCATAGCAAGTAAGTTAATTAATTTATTAAATCATCAACAATCTTCGATAAACATTTATCCAAGTTTGATCATGTGATTCATTTGTGGTTTACATGTAAGTTAGTTGAAATGACCACAAGGCGGCGCGATGTGCAGCCAGCTGAGTGTAAATTCTACACGCATGTCTGAAAAATACCGGCAAAGCATGCTTGTGGTTGTATGAGGATGATATAGGAATATCGAGAGAGAAAGAACAAGTGAGGAAGAATTTGATTGTGGGTAGTAGTGGCTTGTTATAGGATAAAATATGTGTGACAGTACAGCTGTGATGAGCAGTTCAGTTTAGTAGAAGCTGAAGCGACTCCGACTTCAAAAGATGCTCTAGGGAAAAAAATGAATGCCCTTCTCACTCCATACTTTTTCTCTCGGGCTATTTGCTTTTGATTATCGGTCCTTTATGAGTAGATACACTTGTATACATGCTGGGCTTCTCTTGATCCTACTTTTACTGTAGTTTTAGTCGTCGTCTCGTTAATGTAATTATCATTAATATATTGTCATCTTCTTTTCATAAATATTTCAATCATTTCTTTTTAACAAAAATGCTAAAAAAATACGATGTCTAATTGGATCTAATCCCAGTCGTAAACTAACCGAAGCAAATCAGTCAAGTGTTGTTATAAATAAATATAGTCGACAGTTGAGGAGATTTAAATATTTTACAATATTATTTTTATACAATCACATACATACTTGATAATCTTTTGAATAAATATTTTAGAATAAATAAATAAATTCTGGAAAAATGACAAACAGGTAATTTTATATTTAATATTCTAGTGTGTTTATTGAACTATTTATTTTCAATTGAATCAAAGATATTGTTCCACTCCAAAAGGATAAGTTTCAAAAAATAATTATTTTATTAAACCTAAAAATAATATTTTTTCAATCATTGATTTAGCTATTGAATAGAAAAAATGAAATTTCCATATGTTAATTTCAATAATTCTAGATAAAATAACTAATTAATATGAAGCTAAATATTTTTTCAACAGAAGATAAAGCGGAATTGAATCATTTATCAGTGGACACAGAAACGGGAATACTTCTGGATAAACCACACAAAATAAATATCCGCAATTCAATTTCCAGTCGATCAGATTCACTGTTTTCCGCTAGGAAGGCTGCAAAAATAAAAATTAGTAAGCAGAGAAAACAAAAGGATGGTAAAAAGAATAATAGAGCTGTTATTTCGCATGTCCACGATGAAGATAGTGATTCAAGTAGTGAATCCAGTAGTGATGATGATGATGATGATGATGATGATGATGACATCAATTTAATTAATTCTGAATCAATTGATAAGTCTGATGCAATGCATAATTTACTTTCTAATGGTAAATTTTTAATTTGTTTTTTTATTCTTTTGTTTATAGTAATTTGTTAATTTCAATTATTAATAATAATTGCAGTGACTTTGGAAAATATTCAATTTCTTAAAAAATTGGTAGTCGTAATGGAGAAAGTTTACAAGAAGAAACAAAATAATTCAAAACACGAAGAAATGATTATGGTAATTGCCATGAGATTAATGGTTGTATTTATTTAAATAATTTATGTCTTTTCTTGGTAATAATTAATCTTATGCTTCTTTTTTGTGTACTTAGGAACCGGATCCACGAGCAATTATCGATCAGGATAAGGTAAATTACCCATTTTTCGTATGCTATTTTTAAAAAAAAATACTGTTTTTTTAGGGCTTCATTTTTGTAAAATAATGTGATAAGTTCTCTCATAAACGATATTATTTTTTTAATATGATTTTGCAGACAAATATTCATTCAAGTCTCGGTGCATTCCTACCTCCGATGACAATCAATGCTGTTTTCTATAGAAATCAGGATCTTGGAGATTGGAAAAAATTAACGACCGACATTTTAGTTGAAATTTATGGCAAACAATTGGCCTTTTTATCAGCCAAAGGACGAAGAGGGGCTCAAGGGATTGATCCTAATGTTTATCGTGCCATTTATGGTAAGATACATATTAAATTAATTTTGAAAAATAATGATTACCAATTTCTGAACTTTTAATAAAATCGTTAATAAAATAAATAAAAAATACGTAACTATTTCGAATAGCTTCATATTTTGAATAATATTATTTAACAGAGTATATTAAAAAGATGTGTGACTAAAAGTAATTTCGATCACTGTGTTACAGAATATAGCTACTAACAATTGACTTGATCGATTTTCTTACCGACTACACTATCTTCAATAAAAAGCATTCATATAGACAAAGAAAGATAGTCATTACATTGATAGAATAGTAATTTCATTAAAATTTTCATCAAATTTCTACAAATACATTTAAAGATAAAAAATTAATTAATACATATTTTAAACAACGTCGGATAAACAATCTGTCGCAACACTAAGTAACGTCTACTTTTGTTACTCTCTAAGTAGCTACAGTTATCATAAAAGTGAGAGAGCAACACTATACTAAGTCTATGTGTGATTTCCACAAGTTTTTTTCTCTTTACTCCAAAACAGTCCAAACTTACCCGGTCCTAATCTAACTTTTCTCTGTCATTCATGTGTTAACTTAAAAGTTGTTTACTCAAATACATAAATAAATAAATAAATAAATAGTGGTTCAAGGAATAATTGAATTGGATTTCACCTTTTTGTTTGTGGTTTTCAGATTTAGTTAACATGAGACTCGGTTGGATCTTACCTTCCAAAGAATTTGTAAGACACATAAACAAAGTTTGTTCAAACCGTAAAAAGTATGTAAGGAACAAAGATACGAGCCAAGTTTTTGTTAGTCCACTTGAGGTTGAAGATCCAATAGCAGCTGAACCTAAGTATGAAATAACACCAGATACAGATGAAATGCCAAACAGTTATTGTTCAATTCAAATAACAGAAACATTTAGTGAAGCTCCAATGTGAATACACAAATATTTTGTACGATTTTTACTATTGATTTTTCGCAATGTTTTCAAACAACTGGAGATTACAATTGACATTTGTATGTGACAATCGCACAAATGTAAATAGTACAAACATTACTATTAAGGATTACATAGTTAAGTTAGATTATTAACAACAAATTTATTATTTAAATTTGATAATAGAATTTTTTCTTTGTTCTATACTTTTAATTTAGGGACATTTTAATAAAAAAAAAATATGCCACCATCTGTGGGTCACTTGATATAAAAAAATCTCAAATAACTTTTTTTTCAGTCCCTTAGGAATCTTGATAAACGGTTGAGATTTTATATTCCCGCGAGATGGAATAAGTTTTTCATTGAATTAAGAAAGTTTTTTTCACAGAGGTTTAAAAAAAATGAAGAAAATTGAAGAAAAAAATTAGTTCTTTGATATATAAAAGTAACATTTAGTTACTTTACGTTAATATAAAAAAAACTGTGACAGACTAATTAAAAAATTTCCTTCCATTTTTTTCAGTACATTTAATTATTAAAAAAGCATTTGGATTAAATTATTCCATAAATTTGTTAATGTGTAAGGCTATTTTTGAATGACGTAATTAAAAAATTTTCTATGCATTAAAACAGCAACTTTTCCTTCATCTTCATCTTATCATGGCTAATTTTTTATCTAAAACATCTTGTCTTGGTGCGAGCCCGAAGGTCTACACAACAAAAACTACTTGATCAATTTTGCTTAAAATTCAATCAGGTTTAAGTTACATAATTTTGCATTGAATAAAACTGGTTTTACGTCAATATATCATCATTTTTTTTAAGATTCACACAACTAAAATTAAATACAAACGTACATATGTACATGTACACACACGGACATTCTCTTAAAAAACGTATCATTTAACTCTAGGGACTTCGAAATGGAAAGATATCTTAAAATTCGGACTTTGTAAAATCGCATTGATTCTAATAACTTCCCACTAAAATGTTGAACAGAAGGCCAAAAAATTGTTAACTAATTTTATGTTTACTTATTTCTTGTTTGTATCAAAATAAAAAATTTCTATAGACAAGCAGGTGGAGATATTTCTTCCTGATCAACGCCCACATCAACCAGCTGACACAATTTATCCTTGATATCTTGTGTTCACAATACAGTTTCTCATATAAAATGTTTTAAAGTAAACCAAGAATGCTTGTGTGGTCGTCCACAGATGACCTGGAGAACTAAAGAAGCTAAAATAAGTAGCAACGCACGTGCGATTGGACCGCACGCACACTTAGTTGAAACCTACTGTGCTATAATCCCATCTACTTTACTTGATTCCATCCAATTTCTCTTTTTCGACCATTTCTAAGGTCATTTAAACTTACCAGAGGGAGACTGCTATCCACATGAACTCAGAGAACCCCAACGGATTTACCTGTATTTCGACTATTTTCTGATATTTCCATGTTCTTTCTCGTCCTCTTTTTCATCCTCGTTGACGAAGAATCGTATTCAGACGATAATAACGGTCAGTTTCGTGCAGTTCTATGCTTTAACAATTGGTTGATGTTTAGATCTTTTTTTTAAAGAAAGTGATTGATAGAAACGATTTAAAGATAATGTTCTATTGGAATTTAGGTTTTTTTAAACATCACTTAATAGATTGGATACTTTTACTATTATAAAATTCCTAGTTAAATATCTTGCTTTTCGTAAAAAATGTTTAACAATTGAAATTGGGCTAGAATCCTAACATAATTACTATTTAATTCTAAAAATGTACATTTTTTGTGTAATATAAATATATTTCTATTGTGATGGGTCTGATTTTGCGAATCCCAACTTATTTCCACATTTCAAGGTTCTTAGAGTCAACTGCAACAGTATTTAAGTGGACGTCTGTAAGTATGTGTGTTTCAAAAAATGATATCAACAACTGCATTTAAAAAATGTGATAAGAATATCTTATAAATAAAAAAATAGTTTTAGAGAACAAAAATAGTAATTAGAGAATTCTAAACTTTTGTAGTATTGTGAGAAATCTTTTTATTTTTTTCACTGGGAAGTTCACTGCAAATCATAGTGTTAGTCATGTGGACTTTTTATATTCATTGTAATTTAAATCAAATTCTGTTCATATAATTTTAATTGTTCCTATTAATTATAAAAGAGAAAATATATTCAGTCTTTTTCCCGTCTAAATTCAGTTGATATTTTTCAGTCTGATTTTAATTTAGTTTTGATCCATTTTTCGATCATTTTAAAAGTTTTTTTTATTCGTCACTTTCTGTTTCTTGTTCACTTCCTTAGTCTACTTGAAGTTAAATTTTTTAACGTTTTCTAACATAGAAAAATCGATAAATTTTTAGTCTATTTTTACTTTTTTATTTTTACCTAAAAAGGCACTAAGTAAATTTAATGAATATATATATATAAAAGCAAGAAACAAACCAATGAATTGGTTTTAACAATAATTCATTCATTTCATTACATATTCAATTATTTTTCAGTAAACAATTTCTAATTAAATAATGAATTATAATTATTTGATCAAATACTGCATTGATATTGATAACTTTTTGCTCAGTGATATATTATATAATAATTTATGGATGTTAATTATGCATTAATATCCTATTCTCATATATGAGAATAGGATATCTATAGATATCTATGGAATATTTTTAATAAAATCTATTTAAATTTATAGAATGGTTCTATAAAAAAATTAACATCATCTAGCGAATCCAAATTAATTTATAATGTTATATTTACTGATAAAAATAATTTTTAAACTATTCAAAACTCAAAAATACAATATACCAACATATTGTTTATCTTTCAAAGTAAGATCCGGAATATTGAGAGACGTTGAATATTTTCTATACAAATTTTTTATATGGAAATGTAAATTATGGATTCAATAATATCAAACATATTTAATAAATCATTTTATTGTAAATTACTTGAGAGAAATACTATTACTACCAGTGCAAATTAATTCTCTGGCTTTGACAGATAAATACTTAATAAGGCCCATTTATAATCAACATCTCTATAAAATAATATTTTTTAATTATAAAATAAAATTTATCAAGTGAACAATAGTTAATTTATGAGTCCTAACAAATTGGAGCATTGATCTTATTGTTAATAAAATTATTTAGCGATCATCTCTCAAATAGAATGTCATATTACAACTATTTGTCCCTATTTCACTGACCATTTAGCATCTCACCTATTTCCCTTTTTCATTTTTAGCAGAAAAATAACCTTACATTCAGTCTCAATAACGGTCAGCTGTGGCATAACCGCACGACTCGTTTATGTTTTATACCTTGGGCAAAAGAAAGAGGAAAAAAAACATTAAAGAAAATGATGTCGGAGGTCTCATCCGCGTCTTTATCCTCATCCTTTTCTTCCTAGTATAAGAAATTTCCTTCACCCACTTCTATTCTCTTTTACCAATCGTCTAACCATTTTCCTCTGCTTAAAGTCTTTTTCTTTAGCTTTCCAAAGTTAGAACTCTGCTATCCTTTTCTTTACTTTGTTGTTGTTCCTGCAAATAAAGGATTATTAGGTCTACGTTTGCACTTTCTATTCTTTTCATTCAAACCTTGGTTGTTGAAGTTCCGGAAGTCGAAATAAATTTTCTTAAATCAAGCTCTTCTCAAACTGATCCTCAGATTTTCGACTTCTCGATAATGTACTTAATTTTAATACCTTTATAAGTATTCCAAGATATTTGTTGCAATAAATAAAGTATATTAAACCTCCAAAAGAACTTTATTGACCCTTTTTTTCGATCTTGGATGAAGAAGAATTGAATTCTAAGCTAATTTTCATGCTGTTCAGTTGGTAAGTATTTTTTATATTTAGGTTATCGACCTGTTACCAATTCTAAATTAATTCCCTTCATCTCATTTGAATAATGTAAAAAAATGTTACATCATCGGTTATTCTTTCCTTCATTTACATTTTTATTATCACTCTTCTTTTTTACTTGTTTTTTTTATGTTGTTTAATTTTTGGGAAGACTTCCTTGAATTCAATTAATGATATCAACTGTATAGTATGCCTTTTGTTGGGATATATTACCAATCTTAAACTGCGCCTTTCCGTACATCAGACATTCATTAAAATGTCGTTAGTACTGTACTTAAATTGTGATTTAAACCCTAATTTTTCAATGCTTAGTCACATTTGTTGAGATATATCATGTATACATTGCAAATTGTTAAAGATAAAAATTTTTATGTTTTACTTTTTGTAATTATTTATCAAGAAAGAAATAGATGAATGGCATCTAGATGATGAATAAGTTGTTAAAATTATTAAAGAATGAAAATTAAAATGCATTACAATATTTTGTGATCTCTAACAATAAGTTAAGACCAGATTAATTTAAAAAATACAAGTGATTACCCGAGTAAAAATGATCAGTTTTTGAGCGCACCTAAAGGAGACCTAATTCGAGCCCAAATGATTTTTCAGGCTCTCAACGCGCCCAATTCAGGCCTAAAACTATTTTGCAGGTCTAAAACACGCCCAATCCAAGCCCAAAAATATTTTCTAGCTCTAAAACGCGCCTAATCCAAGCCCATAAATATTTTAAAAATCTAGAAAAGAAAAAAAATTATCATAAAAACTTATCATCAAATTAACTTTCGGTGCTACAAATTTACATTTGTGATAATTTATTGTCATCATTGTCGAATATGATCTTAGAAAATAGGCTTCAATTGGGCTCCTTCAAAATTTAGGCCTGTATTGGGCTTATTTTTCATTTTGGGCGTGTTTTAGGCTTCTTTTGGGTCTATTTATTTTTACTCGGATATTCTCAGACAAAAACAACAATGGAAAGTTGTATTATAATTGACAAAAGTAATTTAGTGAATGTAATAATAAATATTTATTAATAGTATTTATATGTATGTATATGTTGTAGTTTAATTAAAACGATTACACACTAATTTACTATAAGAAAATAAGATATCAAGTTTAATAAATAAATAAATTTTTATTTTATTAATAATCCCAGTGCTCTAAGATAACTTTTTCAAAGTCGATAGTAAAAAATTAATTTTTTTAATTTACATGCACGTGAAATATGACTTTTACATGTTTCATAACTTTATTCAAAAATATTTCATTAATATTCTGTTAGTATTTTTACTATTTTATTTATAAACAACTAATTGTATCAAAACCAATCTCGTTTTTGATAATCCAACAAATCATAACCTAAATCATTGGGAAAATAAAATCAACAAAAGTCCACAAAATAATTTTGTTAATCAGTTTACAGATTATTCGATCATAAATTCTCCATTTAAAATAAAAAAATAATCTACATCTAAATCCAAGCTGAAAAGGTTCACCCCAATTACCATGAGGATTACTCGTCTCAATTTAAATAGCTGGAATAGTTAAATAAATGGGACTGATTGGATTGGGTCAGGAATTAAATGAGATCTAGACATCTCGAGGACATAAGATAAAATGAAATAAAAAAGTAATGATGGAGAGAAATAGAATGTCACGAGAAGAGAAAGAGAAACAGGAGAATGGAGTTGTATGGTAGAAAGGACGAAGAAGGAAGAATCACGATTTGGACGAATTGACCTGACGCGAGACGATCTGATCAAGGATTATGGAGGTAGAATGGAAAGATCCTTTGGTAATTGGATCAATTATCGGCGAGACAAAGTGTCCCTGTGGAATGCAAATTTCCAAGTACCGCCTGTTGCTCCAAAGCCCGTTATGTATGCATAGGCGTCCTCTCTACGTAGATTTAACGTCTGAACGACGGAAAGGTCCAGTTTATTACACAATATATTGCCTCAGGATGATAATTCCGCTTTCGAGATTGTCGAAACTCGGAAATTAATTTTAGATATTAAGTCGATTATGGAATACCTCAGATGGTGATTAACAATTCTGAATGAAATTGTTTCCAAGATGTTGCGTAAGTTTATCACAAGAGAATTACTGGCAAATACAGCTGGAGTAAGGTGTATTAAGTTGGCTAACTTTTGGAGGAGTTTGCAAATTTCTCTAAGCTATTATAGAAGTAAACTATTTATCAAAGTTTATCATTTTTATTAACTATTATTTGGATTTTCAATTCAAAAGATAATATTTGGTCTGAATAAACAATAATTGGGAAAAATTGTGGAGTGAATAATTGGATACTAGATAGAATCTTCAAAAGTGCTCTTTACAAATGAATCAGTAAACATTTCGTTATGTTCAGTGAATTATTACTAATTGCAATATTTTTTTATAGACTTATGGTAATTAATAAAATTTTACTGGTTGAATTCAATGAGATAGACGTATTCGGATTGATTTAATCAATTTTGCTCATTGAATTAGTGAATAATAAAATTCATCAAATGTGCTGATATAAGTTTCCATAAATTTATTAATATTAATTTAATCTATCTAAAAGTGATAATTATTGGAAATTTAGTTCAACACATTATCAATCAAACCTTTAAATAAAAAAATATGCTCTAGAGAAGTAATCAATAAACCATCAACTATTCTGTTAATTCGACACTTGTGATATTTACATGCAGAGATAGAAGCATCCTTTTTGGTTGTACTTTTATTTTAAAAATCTCTTGATTTATTTTCACATGTGCTCACTGTATTCTAGATATCGATAAATAATCAACAAAATATTAATATTGACATGTTCAACATCATCAACTATTGCTGCAAAATAAACCTTCATCATCTTCATTGATTCAATCAGTAAACAGATCTGAAATAGCTTATTTTCCAGTATAATTTTAACTCACTAAATAAACCAGTAAAAATTTTACTAATTCAATTTTAAATGTCAATCGTGTGATTCATTTTTAAAGAGTTAGAAGGAGAAAATTTATTAATTTGAAATGAATAAAGTAATTATTGTGAAAGAAAACTTACTTTGGGTAATTAGTTATCATTGTCAATAAGTATTAATCATAAAAGTTTTAAAAGTAAAACAATAAAACCAAATACTATAAACTGATATACTCTAGAATTAAGTAATTTAAACTTTAAAAAACAACTAGATAATTTACTGTTGACAAAAATATGTCAAAATGTCAATTTTTCGATTTTTTATAGCCAAAAATAGGGTGGACCCCACTTCCGAATAATTACCTTACTTTTTAATACATCATGCTATAATGATTTTAATGCTTTTTTCATTGAAATATTTAAAAAAAAAATAGGTCTGAGCACACTTTGTCTGTGCTAACACGACGAACTTCCCATTAGTAATTGTTTATAACAAATTTAAATAGTTGTAATCAATGTTTGTTGAAAACATTCAAATCCATGTGATATACGCATCAGTTAATCGATAAATACAATTTTCAATTGTTTATAACAAATTCATATTGTTATAAACAATGCGTGATTGTTAAGAGTCATATTTGGTTGTGAACAATAATGTATAGTCAATATCGACTTAATTTTCAAATGAAATTATTATTGTTTGGCTTAAAAGTATTTTAAACAGCTAATCTTTTCATTTTTCTATGAGTTATTTTGTTATAAAAAAAGAACGGCTCTATCGAATTCATTCAAATTTCTTTCAGATCTTCTTTATAATAATATCTTTCGAATTAATTTTAGTTGAAGTTGTTGTCTTGATCCATTCTTAAGATATCGAAAACGAAAAAAATGCTGACGTCCGTGCATACGTAGGTACATACATACATACACACATACATACATACATACATTCTAAAAATATGTCAGTATGCTTGCAAATATCTTGAAACGTGGAGATTTAATGAAAATTCCAATTTCACCAATCGACCCAATTACAATAACTTCCTAATGGGAAGTTAAAAAAAAGGTCTGTTAACGAACTACACAACCTTAATCAAATCTTCCAAGTTTTTATATCTTTAGAGCAAGTAATATAACTAACTTCTCGTTAAAACAATAAAACAACATTCTTAGATAAGTCAGCCGCCACCTGGTTATGGAATATCTTGAATCAGTGATTTAAAAATTATCTAACAAATGATAAACATTTTATCACTTGTGATTACTTAATCAGTTATTACTAATGAACTCGGACCTTTATCATAATGTTACTCGTTTATAGCAGGTAATAAGACCGCTTCGTAACATAATTTTTTTAACATACACATTGCTGTACCACTTGGTTTGCTCTCGAGATTGCTATAATATTCTCGATAATTCTAGTATCGGATACCGTTCCAAGTATGCATAACGAATTACACTGATGGTGGTGGTGCATTATTATAACAAAAAACCTACGTACATGTTTCTGCTCATCATTCTCTTTAATATCATGACATTTTTAAATTGTTTATTTACTTATGTAATTTATGAGAACTGATTTCTTTTCATTGAATCTCATTCATTTAAATCAATTATCGGATTTATTCTTGTAGTGTGAATTAAATGCAGATTAATAAACTGAATGACTTTGTTCTCCAATCTTCATCTATGCAGTTCATTTATCTTGCCGTGACCTCTGAATGTTATTTATTTAATAATTTAAATGTTATTTGTGTAATAAAAGAATTAATAAATCCCGTTAATCAATTTATAATAACACTTCAGGTTCTAATAGTCTAAGCCAATTATAGAATCCATCATATAATACACAGTGAGCTGCAACGGTTGGCATATAAATTTTTTCTTTTCATTGTCAATCGAAAATATAAAAAGTTTATGTAATTTTGTGAATGGCTTGACATATTATGTTATTCGAGAATTGATTTATCTAATGGGAATTATTTAGTTTGTAGAGTCATTTGAGATAAAACTGTTTTGTACTCTTAATATTACAGCATTAGTAAGTGGACATTAATTTATACTTAAAAACTAATTATAATCCTCGTATTGACAATTATTCTTATTTCTACCGTAAGTACTAGAGTTATGATAACTTACTTCATTTAAATTGTATTTATTAATATATTTTTATTGTATTTTACATTTTGTTAACTTAAAAATGTTAACATAATGAAAAACTAAAATTAAACGTTTAAATTATTGGAATCAGTGTCTAAAAGTGTACAGTAGTGTCACCAGTGAGCTATTTTTGAAACTAAGAAATAATATACCTTGGTGGCGCCACATAAGCTACTTTCACCGTCCCCTGATGGTAATTTCAATCATATGGTTGTTGGCGTGGCATCATAATTAACCTCCAGCTTGGTGAAAGTTGATCGCTCGTTGTTAAACGAGCATATTTTTCGAATTATTATGGAAAAATAAAAGTTATTCGTGTGGAACAAAAACTGAAGACAATCGAGAATATTACAGTGATTAAAAAAAATGGACACAAAGGAAGAAATGGATCCTATAACCAAGCTTAACACTGAACTAAACAGATCCATGACGTTGACGGATAAAGGATCATCGAAAAATCCATCACGATCAAAAAAATGTAAGTCAATAATCCTAGATAATGCAACTACTTCTGATGCATTAATTACAAGTACTCCAGGACCTTCAAATTTATCTGACTCCATAAGCCCAAAAAAGAGTATATTGAAAGAACCCACTGATAATGATGAACTCGATAACACTTTTGTTCAAATAGTAAATAAAGATCAAGAAACTCAAGAAGAAACACCAGTGGAAACTGAACAAGTTGTTAAACGGCCACAAAACTTGGAAGAGTTTATGGAAACTGAGTCATTGGAGATTAATACAACTCCATGCGTGCTAAATGTACCTGATATAAGTGAAGATGATGCACTATGGCTTTTTGATGTTCCTAGAACCATTGATCCGAGGGACTTTGAAGGTCAAATGCTTGATTTTTATGGCAAAAGTAAACTAAAAGCTGGTGGTGAAAAATATGTTGCTGTTCCTCACATCACTTCTGATTATTTCACGTGTGTTCTTGGAACTGGTATACATGATAAACCTTGGCAAGCTATTAATATTACTCCTCAAGGGTCTATTATCGTTCGAAAGAAGATTTCCGGATGGGTGAAGAAGAGTTGTGATAGCAGTGAAGTTACTCCAGCCAATAGTAGAGTACCTTTCCCAAAAACTCTCAAAAATCGTCATCCACTTCTTGGAGTTATTCTGCGTGAAAAGAAGAAGAAAAAGAGATCCAAACTTTTGTAATTCATCAAGTAGTTAATCAAGTAATCTCCTTTTTCATCAATTTTTGTATTTAATTTATTAATTGAAATTAATTTATACTCAAATTATTTGTTTTATTTTAGCAACCATTGTTACCGAGCAACCGATTCCTGTTTATCTAATGCTCTCTGTGAAGAAAGTACTGTTGGAGTAATATCGATTTCAACCTAATCTTGATGAAAAAAAAAATGCCCTGATGGTGATGGTATTCTCGTCATGCACAAATCTTATTTTAAATTTATTAAGTTTCCTGATGTTTAATATTTTTTTCCTATACTTCTAAACGACATATTGGACATCAATTTTGCATGGTTCATTATGAAACGGGACTTAGTGAACATTATTAAATGGGGGATATATTTTTTGCAGTTATAACAAGGTATTAGGTATTACAGTCATATTTTATTCAACATTTTTTTCGATAAAATATTTATTAATCATTATAAATCGTATTTAGAAGCTAATATATTATTCCTTATCTCAGATTTTTTTAATTATTAATGAACCTTTACTATGAAACTCCTGATGTACACAGAAAAAAATTTCAAATATTCACAATAAAATATTTGATTTGATTAAATTATATTTTGTTTGGAAAATATATTTTGTCATTTAGTTTAATACGATGACAAATTTAAAAATAAATGATGTTTGATTAATTATTTAAAAGAATTCTTTTCTGTCCAGACACTATGGATCATGATAAATAATCATTTATTTAATTCATTACTAAGCTCAATCAATAAATTTTTTTAATGTTATAAGAATATCTACTTGAGATTAATAAATACATTGGATCCAATAAAAAAATTATAATAAAATCCAGATGATTCTATTTAAAATAATTCGCATGTAATGAAAGAGTTGTTGAACAATAAAATATTCTATTGTGGCTATTTAAAATTTTAGTTTGATAATTGAAAAAATCATTGTTGTTCACAGTGAATTTTTTCTTCGGTGTACAATTATTTGATAAAAAAATCAGTTGAAATTTGCGGTAAATTTGCAATGAAAAAAATAATAAAATAGTTCATATTTTTGTCAGGAATAATATTTGCTTATTAGTTTAAACGTTGAATTATCTGTTAGAATTCATTTAAAAAGATTGGTTGTATATTTAATAAAACTTTTCATTAAATAAACAATTTATTTTGTGTTGTTTATTTATTCTTAATTGTTAAACTGAGGTATGTAATTTTATTATCACGCTAATAAATATTTTGAATATTTATTTATTTGCAGAAAGTATTTTTAAAATTATGTATTTTTCAATGAATTAATGCATAATAAAAATGACAAAGGAATGTATACACTTCAAAAGCAACCCTCTTTTCTTGAAGAAATTTCTCAGTCCTACCACAAAAAATGTTTATCAAACCCTAGCTAACGATCTCGTAAGTTAATGACACCCAATGGTGTTTATCTCAGTCATGATAAATTATTAGACACGATTTGAGACAAGTAAAATCTTACTTGATCCTGCAGGGGAATGAAAAAAAGTCAAATTACAAATACATACACAAGAAAAATAAGAAAACAAGGAATAAAAATAAGGGAAAGTAAAGTGTCTTATCTTATTTATTCCACAACTACTCCAACATACTATAAATAAATGACACCCTTCATTCGATTTGTGATGCAGTTTAAGTGTGACTCTTCTGTAATATAGGCCCTCAAGATATTTTCATCTCTTCATAGAAGAAAAAAAATATATAAAGCCCCTTTTTGTAGATGAAAAATGCATCTCCCCTGGATCACAATAAGGGGGTGCACATGTATTATAGATACTTACATTTGAGATTGCGCGACTTGTTAGAGAAACAAAGGGAAATAAGTCAAGAGGGTTTAACAGTAGTAGACATTTACTTTCACAAGATTACACCCTCGTGGATGATGGTATTTTTCAAATTTCTTTTTGTTATAAAAATATTTTGGAGTATGTGAATGTTAGGATAAACTACACAATAAATGACCACCATTTAATGAATGTATTAAATATGATTAATTAAAACTTTCAAGCTTATTACTTACTATTTTATGAAGCTTAAAATTAGAGAAATAATGTCTCTTGAGCTCTAGACTGTGTAAAATTGGTCTATCAACTGTAAGCCAATCAATTAGATTCAACTATAAAATTATAAAAAATTAATTATTGTAATCTAATTTGAGCAACACTATTAAAAAATCTCTTTTTCGCCATTCAACCTCTTGTTTTAGTGATGGGAATTAAAAGCTTTTGATTTCACAACCATGTTGCGATGTGGACGACTCGATTCTATGAAAGGGCTAAAATTTATATCTCATCTACGCTAATTAAACTACTTTAATTAATTTCTAGGTGTAGATATCCTTACTTAAGGACCTAGACGCTACAAGAAAGTAAATATTTTGTGTGTAATAGTGTTTGTTATAGAATTACTATAGATCAGCATTACTCGTTGAGAAAGGTGCAATATTGGTGAATGTCTCTAGTGACTCAGACAGTGACGCAATTTTTTATACCCTGACCCATTAAATCTGGAATAAAACATGCATTAGTAAAAAATCGCGACTGATTACAGTAGACCAAAATTAAGTTGTTCCAATATATTCATTTCTTTGTATTTACGTCATCATTAAGACAGTCAGATTACTCGACAGTACAATGTGATAATTATATGTACAAAAAATTCTTTCCATAGTTGAACATTGACTATTAGCTTCTCACTCACATATTTATCCTTGTGTATTTAGCTTTTAGTGTTATCAATAAATTCTTGTTACTGTTAATTTGTGCTCTGTCAGTTTGTTGCAATTGTCTGTTTATTTTGGTCAACTCACAACAAACCTATTTCTATGAAATTGTTATCTTTTATGGATTTTTTGGTGGAATAATAATTATTATTATTATCATTTATTAAAACAAAAAAAAATTTTAAGTCTATTTAAGATGTATATTTTTGATTATTAACAAATGACATTAAACCACCAATCACAAACTTGCAATTCTTGACTAAAAAGTGTTCCATTAGGACAAACCATGGGTATACCAACATTAGTTCCAAAACAAATATAAAAAATCTGAAAAAAGGTGATTGATGATTATTTAAGACATTTTAGGAATTAATTTTTATTTTTAAATAATGAAACAAAGTAATTACCTGACAACGAGAAGCACGATCAGCTAAATAGATGTGTGAATCATTATCAACAGGGCACGTAAATCTCTTGGCAGAGTTTCTTAATTGAAGATGAATATGTTCTTGATGAATGGGATAATCTCTTCCGGCTACTCCAGGTACAGCTCCAAATGTAGCACTAGAATCTAATTGAAAAACATTTCGGACGTTATTTTGAGTTGTTATTCAATAAACATGACCAATTTTTCATATCCATTTCATTCGAACTATCATTGATTGTAACATAAATTATCTTTTTTCTCCTTTTTTAACATTTAAAAAGCTATCATGTCATTCAATAAGAAAGTTATTGTCTCTAATAGATGTAGAAATCTAATATTTAAATAAAGCTTAAATCGTTTTTCTGTAATAATTTTAATCAGTTACAACATTTGTGATGAAATATAATTGTTTTTATTCATTTAATTATTAATTTGATCAGAGAAGATTATGATACCTGTAACAGTACATAAAAAATTTAAAACACTTCAGAAGTTGAAGAATCTACATCATTAGAAAAATTATTGCTAATCTTTTTTTTTTAGTTAACTATTTTGTTAGAGTTTAGTGTCAATATGTCAGCATATTTAGATAAAAACTGGTGTTTATTTGTGTTGTTCATTTTTATGTAAAACTTCTCTTTCTAAGTAACATTCAAGCATAAATTCCTAAAATGCTTCTACAACAAACAACTAAGAGCATAATTACTATCATTGCTGATAAAAATGTAACTTGTGGGAGGTTCTAAGGGAAAGTAACAAAAATTTGGAAAAACACGAAATAATCTCAAAATAAAAAAATTTATAAATTGTGAAAATTGGCTAGTTCGCTAGTTTGCAGTCTTTTGTGTATGTATGCATGTAGAAATTCTCTTAAAAACCACATATAATATGACTCTAGGGACCTTGAAACGTAAAGATATGACAATATTTGCAGAATCGGACGCACCATCATAACTTCCTATCGGAAAATCGATCATTCCAAAGAATATCTACTGTGTAAGAAATAAAAAAAAATCAATGCGAAAAAATGTTTCTAAAACATTTCTTCAATTATTCATAAAAATGTCATTTCAAAAAATGAAAATTCTTTTCTTTTTACGATTTATTCGTGAGACACTCGAAAATACAATTTGTTTATAAACCTTAACATTAAATAGACTCATGTAGTTTTACTGTATCACCCTTCAATTTGTCGTGAACTATAAAAATAATTGCTTACTTTCAATTCATTAAGATTCTTTGATGTCAATCATAAGAATGATTTTCAATACTGACCTATAAACCTCAAGTGATTATTCCGATTGGTAGAACGAGCTTTAGTCCAAGTATATCTATTTCTTGAGTCACCCCACGAGTTTCTTCTATCAGATATTTCGTCACTGTCACTCCCATGATATTGGTACTTGCGGTTCCCCCTCGAAAAGTATCCTTTCAATGGATTGGTTTTGATTACACTAGACTTAGTCTTAATATCCTGTGATTTGTGATCAAGTCTATTTGATTTTCCCACGTTTTTTGGTCTCTTAGAACTTCCGATCGAAAAAACTGACCGCAAGGAATCAAACGATTGCGTTTCTACACTTGGATCTGATATCAGAAATGAACGTTTTGATGAAGTTTCTGTTGTTTCTTGAATACGTAATTTTTTTGCAGTTGTTGATGCTGAAGTGGACTGTGGTAGAGGTTCAAGGGTTGTTGATGATCGATAACTATCCACTCGTTGGTCCTGGTGTGATGATGAATAGTAAGGAAGAGGTGGTTCAAGCACATGAGACGGTACTGATTCAGCTCCTTTCAAATTATTTTGAACATTGACTTTAAATTTTTTTCCAAAATCACCATTCCCAGGCCAATTGATCTCAAAAACGTGCTTCTTCTCTGATTTTTTTACTTCCAAACGTCTCCAAGATTCACGTCTGAGCTTTGGCACTTGAGTATCTGGTGATTTAGACGAGCTTTCGGATTGCACTTGATTGAAATTGAAGAGTCCTTGTGAAGAACAATGAAAATAAAATTAAAAAATAGATAACAATAGCAACTTTTAGGTGTGGTGGAGCACAAATTTACCAGAAAATATGAGAATCAATGATAAAATCTTCATAATTTAAGGCCTAAACGATAAAAAAGAATGTTTGATCACAAGTTGTGGCTTAACTGAGACTGACGAAACACAGAAAAGATCGGCACGAAGGGAGATAGTGTGATTGGATGAAGAAATTGAAGTACGAAAGTGGGGAGTTTCCAGACTTGAATCAATCTTTAAAATCCATTTGCTAATTATTAGATAGAGGTATAGGGTGGGAGGGATACGTTGGTGAATAATAAAATAATAAATATTTAAATGAATGATGATAGAAAGGCGAAAAGATACTTTGAAAAACGGATGATGATATCTTGTTTCGGATAGTTACCTTCAGAATTTCCAATAGAAAAGAAGACTTCTCAAGTGTGAAAAGGATGACACGCTTGGACTCATCGTAATAACGTCCGCAGTTTCCTAAGGGGATCTCGTTTCATCGCAATAAAAAATTACCGGAAAATCATTTGTACATTCAGGATGTTATCATTAGTTGTGATTCAAGATGAATAACTGCATAAAAAATTCTACACTTATCCAGTGAACTCTTTTATTTTTCTGATAAGTTGTTTCTTATTGACCTTGGAAAGTTATTTGTTGAGTTTAATATTTAATTTATCAGAAATGATTCAAATTGATCCTTTTTTTGTGGAACGTGAGTTTGAACAAATAGAGAGAAATAAAAAAAGATATTTTTTTCAAAATATTTCAAATTAGTAGGATTATGAAAATATAAAAATTTGACTGGTGAACTTGATTTACACTTCCATGATTTTATTCAACTACTCAAGAAAAAATGATCAGATTTAATTGATGTACACGGAGAGAATTTTTGCACTAACTGTAAGTAAAAAATGACACGTCCACGTTTCGAAGTAAAAATATTTCTGTTCAACAGTGAATTTTGGGTTGTCGTAAGTAATTTTTGAGTTATCCTCAGTAATTATTTTACTAAGACACCTCTTAAGTATCAAGTTGACTTACAAGAACTCAAAATTTATTATCGAATAGAAATATTTTTACTTCTAAACTTCGAAACGTGGACTTGTCACTGTTTACTTGCATTTAGTGAAAAAATTCTCTCCGTGTAATGTTGGCGTGAATGTAATAAAATCTCGGTTGTTTAGCTGCTCATTACACTTAACTTAAGAAATCTTACCATACTTGGGTGTGAGAGGAGACCTCGCCACCGTTGAATTGAGTTGATTTTGTAGAAATACCCTGGTGTTGTACACTGAGAAAAAAAATTTACTTCATACAAAAAATATTTCATTCGATCATTAACAACAAAATTTCGAATAGTCGCAATAAAATATTTCTTCAAAATTATAAATATTTTATGAAAATCAATTTATTTAATCAAATGAAGAAAATGTCATTTGTTTTCATGTATGAACAGTTTCCTCAGCCTGTTATTAATTGGCTTAAATATTTTCAATATTTTCACAATTTCATGCTTTCATAAAATCTTAACAGTCACGCCAAGTTTTTGGTTGTTATGTTTATTGTGTCATTAAACGTACTAAATTTTTTTTCAAAAAAAAAAACCGAAGAAAATAATTCATTTTAAATATTGTTGATTTGTAGATTTAAATAATTGGCGTTTAATAATCTTAGGACTTTTTGTAATTACGTCATTGACGTTATTTATGTTTGGCGCACATTTTTGTACAGCCCAGAAGGAGGGGGCTGTTTTTGATGAGATTTCACCATTTTTTGTACATATTAACTGAAAAGGAATTTTAAAAAAAAATAAATCTGTTCAGAAAATATTTTAATTATTTGTATATTTGCGCTCAAGCAAAATTAACTTGTTACCAACTTTATAATTTGTTAGTGAGAGAATAGCAATTAAAAAATCTGATCACCAACTTGATAAAAAAAAACGTATGATTGCTCCATGAATAAACTCTCATTTTACTCAGTTTTTGCGCAACGAAATTTTTTCAATTTCGTATATTATGAATAAAGTAATGATAATACTTTATAGTATGCTTAATCGAAAGTCAACGATCGCTTTCCAAGCAAATTCTTAATTTCAGCCTATGTTTATGTTATAATAAGAAAAAAATTGTAAATTTAAAAATCATAACCTGCAAAAATCATCTCATAATTTGTATATAGAGACACGGTAGTGCCTCGTCGTGACGTAAGGGCTAAATGGCGGCAATTTATGTTTGGCGCACGAGACACTACCGTATCTCTTGAATTTCACGTAATACGATCGATACCACAACTTTAAAGTTATCTTTTTTCCACACTAAAACATGACTTTTTAATCAAAAAAGAAGATGGAGTATTGCAGGCGTCTTACAGATGGCGTCATAATGCATATCTACGTCAACTTTCCGTATACGTCTTAAAGTTGTCTAAAAAGTCATCTTTTCGCCACCTATATGAATGAACTAAATCCTGACGGTTTAAATGTTACCTTTAAGTTAACTTCAATACTTGACTTCTAAGTCAGCTATTATTCGTTGAAATTAAGATATATTTTGAAAGATATCGAAAAATTTATGCATTTCGACATCATATTATTAACATTTCCAGATAAAGTTAGTTTAACTTTTGTAAGTTATCTATTTGATGACTTACTCTTTTTGTGTCTACTTGGGTCGTTAACTCTTTTAAGTTAACATTTCGACAACATTTTCGTGACGTCATTCTAGTTGGGCTCAAACTAACAGACAATTCTGCATGGAAAGTAGCAGCGGGCGTTTATTAATATATTGTAAACAATGAAGTCATCAGTGTCGTCAGGATTTAGAAAAGTAGAATGCAATCTGCCTTCAAGGCATTTACGGGCAAAATAACAAAATTTCTGAATCTTTTGAACATAAAAATATTGAAGGTAAAACAATTTGGCATATCGTAAATAAAACCCTAATCAACCTTTTATCATGCAGCACACATTTTGCAAACGACTAGTGTGATAACAATAATGCATAGTTACTTAAGTTGTCAAGTTAATTATAATTTATGCAAAAAAAATAATACTAAAAATTGTTTACTTGAACTAATAGTTAAATGCTAGTCGATAGTTACCAATTGATGTCTAACAAATTAGAGTGAAGTGTGCTCAAAATGATAAAAATTGTTATCATTGTTTCAATTTTATTTTATTCATTGAATTGCGTTGAATCTCTTGAAATTCCTATCATTACTAACATTTAGGATATAATAAGGCTTGCTCACGATGTTGGTGATATAGTATCAGAAAATATTCCACTTCGAAATTTGTCCCTTACTCAAGAGGGTCCAATGACTGACGTAATGGAAAAAATTAACGGTATCACCCGGCGAATAGAGAATCAAGATACAGAATTAAATACCATACTGACAACAATGATTGCTCAAATTTCATTGAGGGACAATTTCATAGATTGTATAAACCGTCTCTAAAATGACATCACCATTGTTAATAGTACATATAATAACGTCTTCCTATTTTCCAAGAATATATCAAGATTTGACAATGACACAGTCGAAAAGATGATCATCTTCATTACCTCCACCGAACCTAATTTAATTCCTGATATCCTTAACAAAATTTTTAATATAATTGAACCTAAAAAAACAACTAGCAATCAAATGAACTTCTTGGAGACTCTCGCAGAGAGAAGAAAGGTATGAGGCTTGATTTAGAATATTTATAATAAAGATGGGAAAACTTTGACTTTCGCCGAGTAGCAATAAAAAGATTTACCTCGTGAAGTCTTATACCATTCTCACTATTATTTACAAGAGCAATAGCTCCGAAAATTATTTCTAAAGAGCCACTTTGACTCTGAAAAGGCACGTTTGCCCACCTCTGGTTTATAAAGTGCTTTATGGCCGAGCTCAGCTGCCACGGTTTTTCAGGAACATACTCCATATTTTTTTAACAACACAACGTGCGTTTTAAAGATGTATGTCTAGTCAAATCCTGTAGTACGTCTAAAAAATTTTTAAATAGATTTTTTTTTAATCATGCGTACCTAAATTCTTTCTTAAAATTGTAACTAACAATTAATTAGTAATAATTTAAATTGTACTGATTTACAATTATTTATTATAAATTAAAGTTCCCATACGACTACTGTCAGCAACGTATTCAACAAGGCGGTCCACCCATTATTCCATTTTGCCAAAGTTTTTATCTAATTTAAAAAAAAAATATCAGTGCTCTGCAGTGGTCTGGGTGCGACCCGAAAGGTCCACACGACCAACTTCCCAGTGAAAAAAATGAAAAAACAATTACACTACATCCTTGCTTTCGTCAGCGTATAGTTTTGTCATTTTTGCAACTTCGCAGGTATACCTAACTATGCTATAATTACAATCGTCCTACGGAAACATGAGTGTGACATCTTAGTCCAGTCAAATGAGGGAAATGGGATAATTTTGGTTTGCTGCGGCCAAAGTAAAGATAAAAAAATTTTTTTTCTCTGAGAATATAGTTTGATATCTCATGTTTTAAAAAAAATCGCCACAAAGTAATATTTGTTGCGTTAATTTTTTTTTTATTAATTTTCTTAGACGTGACTAAAGCTTACGTCAATAGTGCTTCTTCAGTCGCGAATAACTTTTTATCTATCATAGATATTAAAAAAAGTGTTCAGTACTTTTTTTATTAAAATTACATTCTGAACAACTTTTATTTAAAACATTTTTTAATATCTATGATAGAAATCGAGAAATTTGCGATGGGGGGCGGTTTTTCGCAATTTACTTCCCCCTTATGCGTGCCAAACATTTTTGACCTACACCATCGTGTTCCTCCCGAAATTTCCGATCTAGTCATCTATAAATCATCACTTTGGCCGCAGCAAACCAAAATTATCCCATTTCCTTCATTTGACTGGACTAATCTGGCGTTTGTTAGTTTACCCGGAGCCTTCAATTCTAAATGAGTCAACACCTCTATGACCTCGACTTAAGCCACCCTCGAGCTACGGAAATTCTTTAGAATTGATAAATAGACATTTGATTATTTATCACTAATAAAAATGCAAAATGACATGATTTATGTTTGTGCGCCAAGCTACGAGACGTATTGTTTCTGCGCGTATTATAGCTGTAGTTCAACAGTAATTGTTGTAGTTGTCAGCAAATCACGATTCTTTTTTTAAATTTATAAATAGACGTTTAAACCCTGAAAAGATATGCGTTTGACATCTAGCTGCCATTAAATCTTCAAATTGCCGTGACTTTATTATTTAAAGTAAGTTAGAAACTTTATGACCTTGGCTTAAACTACCTTTATAACAGAGCGAGGAGAAGTTGGATCTTTCTAGATTTCTGTTTATTTACCAACATGGGCTCCTTGGTACCTCGGAAGAAAGAGTCGATTTTACCCAAAACTGCTCGATAGTAATACTGAGCAAACTCTGCCCTTTTGACTCCTCAGGTATGCCAACAATTTATGCTAGTAAGTGGAAAGAAGCTCCCCCAAAGTCTTTTCTGAATACAGTATTCTTCAGTAGTGTGCTGTATCTGTTGGTAGTAAGATCTGCTATAATAGTTTTTTTCTGTTAAGTTTTCAACGACGAGCAATAGAAATTCTAATTTCAAAGATAAAATTATGGTAAAATACACGAATAAAGATTACGAAAATATGATACAATGTTACAAGGCTTGTGATCATAATTCGGTTAAAGCGTCAGCAATGTACCGAAAATTATATCCAAATTGTGGATCACCGTCTCCCAGAACAATTCTATTAGCGATGAATCGACAGAGAACAACCGGAAATGTGACAGTAGTGCGTGAATATGTCGAGACACCGTCAAAAGTACGAGAACAGAGGATAGAAAAAGTTTTGGCAGCGTATGAGTCGTCAGATAATATCAGTGGAAATGAAATTGCTAAACAAGTGGGTGTGCCGAAATCCACGACGCATACAATTTTGAAAAAAAAGAAAGATTCGAAAAAACTAAGGGAAAATGAAGGAGACGGATGTTTGATAGATCTACAAAGAGAAGGGAGTTCGCACCATAATTCAAGGTAAATAAACTATAATTCCGAAAAATGTTTATAAAAATGACAGTTGAAGATTTTCATCTACTGTGATAAATAGAATTATTAAACGTTTATTACTTAACTTAATGAACGCCAAATGACGATTTAAAAAATTTCAGGATACAAAGAAATGCAGATAGTGAAACGGTTGATCTGGATGATCCAACGTGGATGCCCGAAACATAAATAGTTGATAATTTATAAAATACGATTTTTTTTTAAATAACAATAGTTTAGCTTATTTTATAAAAATTATAAAAACAATGTGAGTCATGATTTTCTACGTGAGTGCCAAGAAAATTATGTTGTTATTTGTGAGCATAGTACTGAGTGCACCATTCATTGAGTCATTAAACGCTTGATATAAATGAAAAAATTAAACTAAAAATTCTGTTTGAAATTAAAGTTATCAATTAGAGCTCTTCGAATAAAATAATCTTTGTTATAAAATTGCGAGTTGACAATTTATGCATGAGCACCGAGTAAAAAGTGGTGTAGTCGACGCTGCATAACAAAACACTTTGATCCTTCATTGAAATTCTGAAAATTGTTTTAACAATTCGATTTTTGTTTTAAATCAATAATGGTATTTCTATTTGTTTTTTTATAATTTTATAGATTATCAGAATCATGAATTTGTGACTAGGTGCCAAAATAAAGTGGTGTTAGCAGCAAGCGTAGCAATAAACGCGGCATTAATGTCAATGTTCTGTATCAGAAAAGAACTGTACACATTCAGCTCTTTCTCTATCAAATCTGAAAAAAGTCCTGGAAATTTTTTTTTTACTCATTCATTCCACAGTAATTGAAAACATAATGAAAATTATTAATTCATGATTGAGCGCCAAGTAAACAGTTGTTTTATGAACATACACGGAGAAAAATCATGTGTTAGATTTTGCATAAAAAGTTATGTCGATTTTTTAAAGTAATTTTTATATAATTTTAAGTAAGGACTACATGCTGTTTGTATTTCAACTATTGTAGATCTAATTAAAAATTACATATAGATATAAATCTTCTTCTTATATCTTCTATAATCTAAATCTTAAATAACTTCTTTATCCCCCCTAGTAGAAATTTTGTCGAGGCACTGTCGAGAGTCTTTCCAGCGCCGCCTAGACATGGGCCGTCTACGTTATAATCGCCTATGGTACGTTATAGAATCCAGGGGGAATTGAGTCAATTTCTACTAGGGACGTTATAAAATTGGTTTTGTGTAATTTTAACATTGAAACAATGCTACATTTCCTCGTAAGAACTGTTAAAGAATTTCCAAGTTCATTTATTTAATCTGTTACGTACAAATTACTTTCTTGTAGAATCAGATTTACTCACAAGCAAAGCAATATAAACATATGATGACCGTAGATTTCCTAAAATTCAGTCATCGATTTTATTACTTCAGAGTTCTGTAGATTTTACTCAAGTATGAAATAAAAACAACTGATTACCTAAGTTATTGATGTGCTAATATGAAAAATACTCCTTCCATTCATCAATCGATAGTTTGAATTTTTAGCTAATAAAATTACACCGTTACTGAACTAGAGAGCCAGGACACACTATTGAAGTGCTTCAGTAATTTTTTCAATTACAATTTATTAAGTGATTCATTAAGTGATATTGTAAAAAATGACAGTTAGCTAATTAGTTAGTCTCAGTTCATAAGTTACATCCTGTTTGTTTCAATAACCACTTTTTTGTAATATGAAGTTATGTAAAAATAATATAAAATTAAATTAAATCTACTGCACATTTTGCTCTGTGTAGCATTAATGGATATTTTAAGTCCGTATTATTAATACTAAAAATCGCCTCAAGATTTTAATGTTTTTCTTTATTATCTACTATAACGTTAATTAATAAATTTTAAATGAATCAACAATGAATTGCTGAGTATTCAGTAAGAACTTTTTTAATTGATGCAACATTTATAGACGCCGGGAACTCACACGAACAATTTTATTTATTCTGAATAATTATCCTGAGTACTTAATTTTTTTGTAACCAAATAATATTGTTTCTATTTATCTCAAAATTCTAAAACAGTGGTTGAAATTTTGTTATCTCATTTCTGACCACTGTTAATTAGGTTTAATTAATAGACATAATAAATAGACATTTATTTATCAATTTATCATTAATACAAACGTAAGATAAAATAATTTAAAGCTGAGTGCCACGTTAGGAGACATAATGTTGCCGCGCGTATTATAACTGTATCACGTGCTGCACAGGTACTCAAACACTATATTTAAGTAATTTAAAGTAACAGTAATTGTTGTAGTTACCAGAAAATTACGATTCTTTTTTCAAATTGATAAATAGACATTTAATTAATGATTTATTAATAATAGAAATCTAAGATAGAATAATTTATGCCCAAGCGCCAACCCAGACAACACTCCGCACAAAAAGAGTTCTTTAGGAGCTCTTTTTTGTAAGTTCATAGGGGACTCTTAAAAAGAGTTCTTTGCGAGTTCTTATTTGAGAGCTCATAAGAAAAAATTCTTTTGAAGCTCTTTTTCAGAAGCTCATAGAGAGCTCTTGCAAAAGAGCTCTTTAAGAGTTCTTTCTTGTGAGTTCATATGTATAAAAATTTTTTGTTATAATTTAAACAATAAAAATCTTTTCAGAGCTCATATAACAATAAATTTTACAAGTTGACACGAAAATATTTTTAAAAAATTTCTACTTGGAATAAAATTATTCCATCATTGTATGTTGTTATATATTCATTATAAAAAAAAAACATAATTCAATGCCATTACATACTCGATAAAAATTATTTAGTCATCGAAGAATAATGATTTTTATTATTGCATGAAGTTTAAATGAATTGAGATTATTTATTTATAAATGAAGTTTCTCTAAAAACCTATTTAGCTTTCTCATCGAAATTAATTGTTAGGAATTCGCCTTTATTCACCATTGTCAGCATTGTAAAAAAATATTGTAAACAAATGCTTATACATAAACATGTGTGTTTCGTTTTATGCTAAAGTTTGTGATTAGCAGAGTAGTCTGAACAGAAATGCCTCGACATAATAATTTTTTATTTTTATCTAAAAGTCAAAAAAATCGAAGAATAGCAAATGCTTTACGAGATATTTGCCCAAGTGATTACATTAAAAACGGACAGCACAGAAGAGGTTATCCATGATACAAGTATTTCGGAATGTACCAGTGACTCTGCATCATCTACAAAAAAGATGAAAGAGCATGCCTTCAATATGTAATTAACTTTTAATTGTTTAGTTATTATTCCAATTAATCATGAAATGAATTTGCATGAGTTTTATTCGTGTTCTAGAAATCAGAAGTTCAATTTATTGAAGGTAAAGATATCCATAAAACTATACATCAAGTTTCAAGTCTTCATTAACCGACGAATTTTGTGTCTTGTAATCATGGACAGGACAGAAAAGAACAATCGGCGTCGGAAAAATGAAATTCATCGAAATAATTACAGGTATATAAATTAGAAATTATATATAATTTCTAGTCTGTACACAGTGCAATTATTTTTTTCCTGAAATTTATGATCCATACGATACACTTTTTTATTGTTAACTACTATCTTTATTATTATAACAAACCATATCTTCATATAATCAAAATTTTTCAAGGAGCTTGCGAGAGAAGTATGGAGATTGTATAGCATACGATATTCAAACAACAGTACAATCGTGGCTTCAACATGTCCGGGATCGTCTGATAATGTACATTTACGATAATAGCATTTTAAGAACACAGATTATCGTCCTCATCATTTAAACTTAGCGCACAGTTTTGTACAGTCCGCGGAGCCGTTTTTGGTATGATTTCACGTTTTTTTGTACAGTGTCGGACATAAATGCTGTTCAATTTCTTGGTACTGTACCGCTTACTATAGACAAAAAGTGATACATCTTATGCCTTGTTACAATACGAGAGCCAAAACGAAGCCTCGAGCACGCCGACCGGAGATCAGTCAGTAGTATAGTCGGACTGAGAGGAGAGTTCCTCAGATCCTCTTCATGTGTTCTTGTACGCTTGCGCAGTAGCAAAAAACATGGTAGAAGGGGTAGAAAATCAGTGGTGGGGAGCCCGAAAGCATTGAAGCGACTGAGGAACTCTTTTCTCAGTTCGACAATATAGTTGGGCTTCCGCCGTCGCCAAGTACGCATGCATGAACGACACTCGTCGAGCTCGTAATTAATTTATCACAGTAATTAGTGGAAAGCTAGACCGGGAGCCGGAAGTACGAGGCTGGGATCGTGGCCGCTTGCTGATTGTGCAGTCAAGACGCCTGGGGAGATTCTGCACGAGTCGTTGCAACCTTCGAGGGACGCCGGGTAGTCACGGCGATTCTCCAGGACTCCTACCGACGTGTAACGCCAAACCTGCAGTCCCAGCAAGGCCAAGACTTCAAGATCTACACAGCAAGACGACACTCGCTGGTGAGCTCACCCACAATTATCCTAGTCTTTCAAGGGCATTTGGGCGAGTCCGCGAGAAGCTGCGGAAACACTAATTGTAACGCCTGTCCGATTCCTCATAATCAAGATCAAATAACTGTAGATTAATTAATTGTAAATCTTGCCGTCCCGTACCCGGATCATTGACTCGATTGTCTCTATATAAATTCTGTAAAAATTCAAATAAGTTACTATAAAGCTCGCTTTAAGACGCGAGGGGATAACCCTACGTACTATTGTTCGAATATTGACTTTATAATAAAAAGTCTTTTCTGCTTCAATTTACGTGTGGAGAAATTATCGCGGTAAATCCCTTGCATACCTTATTTGCATGCCTTATAGGGTAGGAGATATCTCGAGGGAGACGTGACTCTACTTTCCAAGGACAAATTGTCCAACCACCTGTATTGCTGTGAATTCTCGTCGTCGTTTTTCGGCACGCTGGTTGTCCAAGAATCTCTCACATTATTCTTTATCGATTTATTTCTTTGCTTATTCATTCATTCAAACGAAGCTATATCAAACAACGAGCAGACTATCGCCGAAAGGTAAGAGAGAAATTGCATTACATTCTCATAGCTAAATCTAGAAAATATACTTCAAGGTCATACAAGAGTACACTCGCAGCAATAACCTCTTCAATCCCTGGTAAATTAAGATACCTTCTTTACCCCATATTTACTGAAATGAAGGCTGATTGGAGACTTACTCTCTGTTGTAGATAAAAAGTCTGAAAACCGAGCACATCCATAGAAAAATCCATTTCCATCTTATTCTCGTGGATCCTACATCAGAAATATTTCCCGCTGGACATACAACTTTCCCGCACTTTTCCCATAACCAAACAATCTCCAAAAAGTTCCAACCAAAAAGCCGATTAATTTATTTCAATTGGCGCCCGAACAGGGACTCCATTCTGTATTTTCCCAGTTTTCCTAAATTCCAATCTCCATTTCAGTTAATTTATTTCAACCTTGTTCAAACTCTATTTTTGCTCTATCTCTTACCGTTCTCGAGATATAAGAATTTGTTTA